AAAAAAAAAAAAAAAGAAAAAAAAGAAATCTAGAACCTCGGGCCCTGCATGCTGAACTGGAATCCGCAGTCTCCAGGCTGCTCGTCACTTATTTCCTCATGCCCGCCTCTCCAGTTTTCTGGAGGAGGGGCTGGGCTGAGCTGGGCCATTCTCCTGTTTCAGCCCCGGGTGCCGGGTTGTAAGCAGCACGCCATGGCTGCTCTGAACGCAATTGATTTAGCTTGAGCCGTCAATCTTGTGTGGCTCAGCTGGGGGTCCCCTTCCTCCTCTCTCTCTGCAATTGTTTTTATTTGTTTGGTTTTGAGACAGTCTCACTCTGTCACCCAGGCTGGAGTACAGTGCCGTGATCTCAGCTCACTGCAAGCTCCGCCTACGGATGGGGAAGGGGTAGGAGAACAACCAGGCAGGGGCCACCATGCTCCACTCTCCCCAAGGGAAAGATAATACTGACAGCCGGATCGCCTGAGCTGGGCTGGAGGTTGTGGGGAGGCAGAGGTTGCAGCGTCCTTCCAGATGGCTCTGAAGACAGTGAAGGCTTTGGTTCCTACAAGGGCCTCCCAGGGGCACAGATGAAGGCAAGTGTCTAAAGAAGGCCTTGAGAGGAGGCGCCTCTGGTGGCCCCCTGTCCCTGGGCATCCCGGCATCCGACATCCTGGCGGGAGCCACAGCCTCAGGGAAGGTAGAGTGCCACCACCACGTAGATGACCCAGCTGGTGGACACGAAGACCCCAAAGAGCAGGCTGAAGAGCACCAGTGAGCGGGCCTTCCGCGAGGCTTCCTCAGCCTGGGCCAGGTCACCCCTGCCCAGGGCTGCGCGGGTCTGCAACGAGACAGGGTGGGAGAGGGTGGTAGGACAACCAGGGAGCTCCCACTCCCTCCCAGGGTGACTGAGGCCCAGTTCCACAAACTGAAACACTGACACGCTGAGAGGTTCAGGGGCCTGCCAGGCCCACAGCTCGAAAGGCGGCAGGAGTGACGGCAGTGGCGGCCGCCAGCTCTTGGGCGCTTGTCATGCCCAGCACGGACGCATGCCCTCAGCTTCAACCTCTGCCATCCTCGCAGCAGCCCTGAGGCTGACCCCACTTTGCAGATATGGAAACAAAGGCTCAGAGAGGCTAAGTGACCTACCCAGGTCACACCACTAGTGGTGGAGCCAGAATTCACCAGCAGGTGAGTCCCACCTCTGAGCTGTCCTGAGAGCTGCCTTCTGCTTATGGCTGGGGGATTGAGCAGCAGAGTGAAGCCAGTCCCGAGACCAGATCCGCCCTCAGCACAGGCCTCCAGGGGCTTGCTTGCTTTTTTTTTTTTTCTTGAGTTGGAGTCTTGCTCTGTCTCCCAGGCTGGAGTGCAGTGGCGCAATCTCAACTCACTGCAACCTCTGCCTCCCAGATTCAAGTGATTCTCAGCTGGTGGTGGGCACCCTCATCTCTCTGCTCTCCATCCATCCATCCCTCTATTCATTTATCTCTTTATTAGGCCCTAGGGATTCAAAGATGCCAATGTGATGACACTTTTAATAGAGACAGAAGCAGGGCCAGGCCTGGTGGCTCACACCTGTAATCTCAGCACTTTGGAAGGCCCAGGTTGGCAGATCACAAGGTCAAGAGATCAAGACCAGCCTGGCCAACATGGTGAAACTCCATCTCTACTAAAAATCCAAAAATTGGCTGGGCATGGTGGCACATGCCTGTAGTCCCAGCTGCTTGGGAGGCTGAAGCAGAATTGCTTGAACCCAGGAGGCAGAGGTTGCAGTGAGCCAAGATCGTGCCACTGCACTCCTGCCTGGGTGACAGAGTGAGACTCGTCTGGAAAAAAAAACCCACAAGTCCCCACTGGAATGGGCAGCACGTTGGGCCGTATCGGTCATTCACACCTTTACTGTAAATTGTTTCGGCCAAACTTCCCACAGCACATTTTGAGTAGTTGGGGGCAGAGACAGGAGGGTCAAGGACCCCACAAACAATTGGGCTCTGACTTCCCAATTCCCACCCCTCTCCAGAGGGAGAAACACCAAAGACTGTGTGGCTGGAAGAGGGGCTCTGTGGACCCCTACCTGGGCACCAGTGGCTGAGTGCCAGGAGAGGCTGTGCCAGTGCCACCCCCATACCTACCTCGTGTGAGTACACGATGGCGATGAGGCCAGTGAGCAGGCAGCAGAACAGGGTCACCAGCACTGACTCCATCATGAAGTCCTTGGGCAGGGGTCTGTGCTCGACCGTGGCAGGGCCTGGCACGCCAGCCATGGGGCCATTGTACTGTGGGGGCAGAGCCACAGTGGTGAGGGAGCCGACCCAGCCTCGGGACAGCAGAGTGAGTGAGAAGGCCAGCCAGGCCGTGCAAGCTCAGTCACTTGGTCCTCCCAATCCCCACCCAGTGAGGCTGCAAATCACAGAGGGGTCGGGTCAAGGTGCTCCTCTGCCCTCTCCCTCCTGCACCCCTGGCCACTCAGCAACCACCCCCCGCCAGAGTCTTCAGTCCTGCCCTCTACAATTGGCTCCATCCAGGGTCCAGCCTTCATGGCACCCCCATCATCCTCACGGGGCTCACAACCCCATCCTGGGAGACCTCCAATCTTCCCACAGGCAGCCCAGGTTTTTTGTTTGGTTTCATTTTTATTTTTATTTTGGAGGCAGAGTCTTGCTCTGTCACTCAGACTGGAATGCAATGGTGTGATCTCAGCTCACTGCAGCCTCAATCTCCCAAACTCAAGTGATCCTCCTGCCTCAGCCTCATGAATAGCTGGGGCTACAGGTGCCCGCCACCATGCCCAGCTACTTTTCCTTTATTTTTAGTAAAGATGAGGGCTCACTATGTTGCCTAGGCTGCTCTGGAACTCCTGAGCCCAAGCTATCTGCCCACCTTGGCCCACCAAAGTGCTGGGATTACAGGTATGAGCACACCTGGACTGTTTTTTGTTTGTTTGTTTGTTTGTTTGTTTGTTTTTGAGAGGAGCCTCGCTCTGTTGCCCAGGCTTGAGTGCAGTGGTGAGATCTCACTGTAACCTCCACCTCAAGCGATTCTCCTGCCTCAGCCTCCCAAGCAGCTAGGACTACAGGCACCTGCCACCACGCCCAGCTAATTTTTGTATTTTTAGTAGACACGGCGTTTCACCATGTTGGACAGGCTGGACTCGAACCCCTGACCTCGTGATCCACCCGCCTCGGACTACCAAAGTGCTGGGATTACAGGTGTGAGCCACTGTGCCCAGCTGTTTTGTTTTAAAGAAAAATCTAAATCACCTCCTGCCCAAAGTCCCTGGGGTCCCTCACCATGGGTCCCACCTTCCTCCCTTTCCCATCAAGCCAAACAGGCCTCACCATCCCCAGAACACCCGGTCTCGGCCCCTCCGCGTGTGGCGCCCTCTGCCCAGGGTGCCCTTCCTTCTCTTTCCTTAGCCCTCCTATTCATCCTCCAGAACCCCGCCCAAATGCCCCCAACTCCAAGGAGCCCCTGGATTCGCCCGCCCCCAGGACAGAAGTGACCTCTCGGCCTCCGCACGGGCGCCAGCGACCACACGCAGACAGCAGGGAGGGGAGAGCGCCCAGGGCGGCGGCCACTCACCACTGGGAAGGGGAAGGCGGCCCCGGCGGGCGGCGGGAAGAGCGCGGGTGGCGTGGGCGCGGCCGGGTAGAGCGGGGCGGGTGGCGGGAAGAGCGCGGACGCCGTGGGCTGCAGGAGCACGGGCACCTGCGGGAAGGGCGGGTACAGCAGCGGTGCGGCCTTGGGGTCCGGCGGCGCGTAGGGCGGGGGCTCCTCCACGAAGCCGATGTGGGGTGCGCCTCCGGCCGCCGCCTTGGAACCCGGCCCAGCCTCGCCCGCCGCCTGGGCCGGGGCGTCCTCCGGGGCGGGCTCGCTGCCCCCCGCGGCCCCATCCTCGCTGGGCTCTCCCCCCTCGTCCAGGGGCCGCGGGCGGCGTGGGAGCTGCGGGAGCGCGGGGTGCGCTGGAATCCGGGGGTCCTCGGGGGCAGCGGGCTGCGCGGGGCCCCGAGGGTTTTCGGGGGTGGCGGGGCTATCGCCCCCTTTAGTGTCTGACCCTAGAAAAAAATGAGTCTGCCGTGAGCAAGAAGCCACCGGGCTAGGTGGGACTCCTCCCCTACCCCAAACAGATCGTCGAAGGACCTCGCTGGTCCCAAAGCTCCCACGAACCAAGCGTCCAGGCCTCTGCAGCTGGGCCTTATAGGATATTGACGCAAAGGGACTAGAAAACAGGCCCAGAGGGGCCACCTCCTTTGTTGGGGTCACAGAGACCGAGCAGCCCACCTGGGTAGGAACCCAGGCTGCTGACCCCGCCCCTCCCCGCGCTGCCCCGCCCCCTTTCTTGGCAGATGGCCTCTACTGGGAGGTAGTTTCGCCCCCAGCTAAGGCCTTATGTCAAAGCTAATTGGACCAGAGAAGGAGAATCAGCCCAGGGAAGCCCCTGATTGGCTGTCCTGCAATACACCTCCAGCTGGGGGTGGCTGACCTGAGGAGATAAGCTGAACCAACTAGATTCTTGGCTTGGAGTTGTAGGAGAGGGCTGAGGTACCCAGGAGCTGCCAAACTATAGATAGAGTAACATGGTGGAGACAGGAGGTCACACTGAGGCACCGAGAGAATGGACACCAGAATATACAGGGCTCAGAGCCCCAAAGCTGCCCAGCTGCCTTGCTCCCAACACAGGCCCTGGCCTACTGCACCCACAGATGAGCTCTGGTGGTGCCTGGTCAGGTCCCACCAAGTCCTTAAGGTCCCCAGCACCTCCTGAGAGCATCCTGACCAGCTGAGCACCCGAGGGCCTGGGGCAAGGGTGCAAGGAAGGCCCTGAAAGAAAATCGCAGGGTGGGCTCCCCTGACCTGGGTGGGTATTCAGGCCTCACCACAGGACTGGGCAGCCCAGAGCCAGGGGTCTGGCTTTGGAGGTACATTTCCTAAGTGTCCTTGAGGGTTATAGAAGGCAGAGGGATGACTGAAACAGACATCACAAGGACATCTCAGTGGGGGTGAGAGGACCCTTGCTGAAGTCCCCCACGGGTGGAAGCAGGGATCCTTGCCAGAGGTATCCTAGTGGCCGGGAATGAGGAGCCCCTGCAACCCCCTCCCAGCAGCCAGGGGCTCACTTATGGCCCCCGCTCCCCATACACCTGCCATGATGTTTACACCACCACACCTTTACCTGTGACGTTCCCGCTGTTCCTCCACCCCTTGGATCTGGGCTTGGCCATGTGACTTGCTTTGGACAATGGGACATTGACAAACATTTTGTAAGCGGATGCTTTAAAAACCTTTCTCTCCAGGTTAACAGGGGCTGGAGCTGGGGAGTTAGTGTTTCATGGGTGTAGAGTTTCTGTTTGGGAAGATGAAAAAACGTTCTGGAGATGGATGGTGGTGATGATCGCACAACAACGTGAGTGTACTTCACGCCACTGATTTACACTTAAAAGTGGTTAAAATGGTAAATTGTATGTTATGCATATTTAGCACAATTTCTAAAAGTCTATCTCTCCAGATGATGACAACTGAGAAATCTAGACAAAATACAAAAAACAACCAGCTAACCGGGAGCAGTGGTTCACACCTGTAATCCCAACACTTTGGGAGGCTGAAGCAGCCGGATCACCTGAGGTCAGGAGATCAAAACCAGCCTTGCCAACATGGAGAAACCCCATCTCTACTAAAAATACAAAAAAAAAAAGTTAAGTGGGCATGGTGGCAAGTGCCTGTAATGCCAGCTACTCGGGAGACTGAGGCAGCAGAATCACTTGAACCCAGGAGACAGAGGTTGCAGTGAGCCGAGATTGCATCACTGCACTCCAGCCTGGGCAACAAGAGTAAA